GCCCTAAGCCCTAAGCCCTAAGCCCTAAGCCCTAAGCCCTAAGCCCTAAGCCCTAAGCCCTAAGCCCTAAGCCCTAAGCCCTAAGCCCTAAGCCCTAAGCCCTAAGCCCTAAGCCCTAAGCCCTAAGCCCTAAGCCCTAAGCCCTAAGCCCTAAGCCCTAAGCCCTAAGCCCTAAGCCCTAGGCCCTAGGCCCTAAGCCCTAAGCTCTAAGCCCTAAGCCCTAAGCCCTAAGCCCTAAGCCCTAAACCCCTAAACCCTAAAGGGAAGGGAATGGGGGAGGACACACAGTTTCTTTCGAGCTGGCGAAAAGATAACACTCTCTCTGATCGTCATCCATTATGTGCTGGCACACAGACAGGCCAGAAGAGAGCCGGGCACATGCAGGAAAGCCACGGCAGATACCAGACAGACACAAAACAGTGTCTGTCTCTTGTTTTGTGTCTGTCTCTTTCCCGCTCGCTGGCGACACAGCCAATCAGCCGAACGGACTGGTCGGTGTGTGTGGGTGTTGGCCTGTCTGTCTGTGAGCCGCCCGTGTGTGACGGATGCACCGACGAGAGATCAACACACTCTCGCCAGCACACGTCGACCAGGAGCTTCACAGACAGCCAGACGGCAGCCCAAACACCGCCCCACAGAGCGATTCTCTATGCGGCCAATCAGCCAATCGTCCCCTTCTTTCTCTGTCTGTCTGTCTGTCTGTCTGTCTGTCTTGTCATATTTCCCCCGCCCCCCACTCACCGGCTCACACACTCACGGGAGCAGACAGACGGCCCACACGCATAACCACACACAGTCCACACAGAGAGAAAAGGCCGACCAACACACGACAGCCGTCCCCTCACACACACACAGCAACAGACAGAGAGAGAGAGAGAGAGTCCGTCGACTCATCGGCCGATCATCCTGCCTCCCACACACAAATGAATCCACACACACACACACACACACACACATACACACAGACGAGCAGCACTCAGCAGCGGTTGGGGAGAGGGCCATCGCGCCACTCGACGGCCGCATCGTCTCCATCAGCGCGGCGAAGCCGTCGGCCACTCAGCCAGACAGCCACACCTGCACACAGACAGACAGACAGACATCTGTGTGTGTGTCAGTCAGATCCATTTGTGTGTGTCGGCACACCACAGAGTGGCCAGGCCATTGTGTCTTCCGCTCCGCCGATGGGCACAGCTCATCGCCTCAACGCACAAACTGACACACACACACAGACGACAGACAGACATCAGATGTGCCTCGATTCAGTTATCAGTTCATCGACCCCTTCAGCTCACCTCGCCCTCTCTGTCTGTCTGTCTGTCTGTCTGTCTGTGTGTGCGGTGTGTACCATCGCTCGCACGAGGCCTCAAGACAGTCACAGCCACACACGCCGGCAGATCTGTTGTCAGGCGAGGCGATGTCGCCGCCGGCTGGTCCCTCAGCTCACGACAGGCAGACACACGGCGGCCATATCTCTCTCGTCAGTCAACCAGGCAAAGACCATCGGCTCCAACGGCATCGGATGTCATTGTGTGCCGCGGGGGGTCGTCGGCCAACGAGCGCTTTGCGAGTCGACAGAGATGACTTAGGAGGGGACATAAGAGTGAGAGAGAGGGAAGGCGTCAGATCTGCAGATCTCAGCTCGCGATCGGACGGCGTGTGAGAACTGCAATTCCGCCGCTGCAGTGGATGGGCCAAATTGCGAGTGCGAGGTGAGCGCATTCTCATTGACTTAGACAGATCGTCAACACACAGTTAGTCAAATTGCGTGCTGCGTGGAAGGTGTCAGTCTGTCTGTGAGATGCTCGACGGCCACCGCACACAGAGAGTGAGGATAATCACTCACTGTGTTCGGTGACCATCCAGCACTCTACAGCCAGCACACCGACGCACGATGAACACCAGAGGGAACCAAACAGATTTCTCTCTCTCTCCTTCCCACATTTCCCACATGGACACATGTAGCAATGCGCCACCCACCATCCGTCTGCACCAGATGTGTCGGACACATCAGTCGACATGCGGTGGATCACTCAGGCCAAAAGCGTGTGTTCAGAAATACACACACACAACACCATTCGACCTCCATCATTTATTTGCCACTGTGCAAGGCACCCGCCCATCGGCACACAGAGAGAGAGAGGCGCACAAAACCCGTCAAGGCACGCAGCGAACACATTGATCCACCCGTAATCGACGTGTGTCTGTCTGTCCACTTCCCTCTGTGCGCATCTCTGTCGCCACACGGCAACCCCAAAGCACCAACACCACACGTGGGCTGATGCTCTAGCGTTGCCACTGGCGGGGAGACAGATGCCCACAAAGGGGGAGGGGGGTTGAATTGAACCGATAGATCTATCGACCCGTCTGTCTGTCTGTCTGTCGGTGAGCCGCCCGTGTGTGACGGATGCACCGACGAGAGATCAACACACTCTCGCGAACACACGTAACACACAAGGAAGCCATAGACAGAGGGCAGCCCAAACACCGGCCCACACAGCGATTCTCTGTGCAGCCAATCAGCCAATCGTCGCCTTCTCTCTCTCTCTCTCTCTCTCTCTCTCTGTCTGTCTGTTCTCCTGTGGTGGCTGTCTGTCGAGCATCGGCCGACCCACTGAGGAGTGTAAGCAAGAGAAGCATGACGATGCACAGACCGATTCCCTTTGTCAGTGTGCTCTCATGCGGCCGACCCACGAGAGGACAAAGCGATTCAGTTAAGTCGAGTCAGTCAGTCGTCGACACATGGGCCGACACATGACACACACACACACAGACGAGCAGCACTCAGCGGCCATCGTCAGTCGTCAAACCCGCCAGCCAGCCACACCTGCATGCCACACAAACCACACACAGACACACAGACACACAGACAGGCGGCTGATTCTCCTGTCGTGTGTCACATCCATCCCATCCCTCTCTCTCTCTCTCTCTGTCTGTGTGTGTGTGTGTGGCTGTCTGCCTGCGCACCGCTGCGGTGTTCGAGTGCAGTCGGCGGTAAGTCACCTCGGCGCCCTCAGCTGCAGCACTGTCTGTCTGTCGTCATGACGGACGGCCGCACCCATACTCACTCGACAGACAGACAGACATCTGTAGCACAGCACACAGAGCAGACCGGCCGTCTCACATCATTGCGATGCTCGAGGCGTCACTCACTGACCTGACGGACTCGCCACGTGTGTGTGCGTCTGTGTCGCCGACCTCAGCACACAGACGTGGGCGCTTTATATATAGCGCTGCAGCACCGATAGGATGCGCCGGCGAGGGGTTGAATGAGCGGGGGCGCCGAAATAGACTCATGCACCGCTCTATGGCTTATGCAGGTGCTACTGCTTTGAGGGCGAAATTTCGGTATTTGATCTGCGAGCTTAGCTTGGGGAGCTCGTGTTCTTTCCAGGGAGCAATGAAGGCTTAAGCCGCATGCTTCACAATACAGAAGGCCTTTGGGGAAAGATCCGCGCGATTCCATTGATATCTATGCGTTCCCATCTGATCTTGGTGCTGCTCCTGTGTGTGCTGCCGTGCGTATACCGGGCAGCAGCAGCAGCAGATCAGTGCGTTTATCCATCCGATTCGGCTCTGTTTGACCTGCACCGAGACGGGCAGCAGCAGCAGCAGCAGCAGTCGGCGAGTGATTCCGATGGAGGGGAGGCGAGACGGAGGACTGACGAGGCGGATGTGGTGACTGTCCATTTGATTCATCACACACACGATGACGTCGGGTGGCTCAAGACTGTGGACCAGGTGAACAGCATCTCTCAAGAGGCTTGCTTGTGTGTCTGTCTATTGTGTCGTGCTTGTGGTGTGTGTGTGTCAGTACCACATGGGTCTGAACAACAGCATCCAGTGGGCGTATGTGTCGATGGTTCTCGACACAGTCACCGACGCCGTCGACCCATATCACATCCAGTAAGGCAGCCGACACACACACACACTCTCTCTCTCTCTCTCGTACGCGATTGTCTCCCTCTCTCTGCGTGTGTGCAGGTATGGAGCCAACCCGTATCGTAAGTTCACCTACGTCGAGATGGGCTTCTTCTGGTCAGCTCAGTCACACACACACACACACACACTCACTGGATGAGTGTGCATATCTGCGTGCGTAGGCGTTGGTGGCGCCAGCAGAGCCGCAACAAGCAACGGCAGGTGCACCGGCTGGTCATGGGAAGGCGGCTGCAGTTTGTCAATGGCGGATGGTGTATGCACGACGAAGCTGCCGCACACTACAGGTTTGTTTCCTGTGCACACATACACATGCAGAGGCGCAGATGTCTGTGTGTGTCTGTGTGTGGCAGCGACATGATCCAGCAGATGACCTTCGGCCACCTCTTTCTGCTCAAGACCTTCAGGCTGAGACCTACCATCGGTCAGCACACACAGTGGCACACATAACACACATGCATCTGTGGATGGATGCAGGCTGGCAGATCGATCCCTTCGGCCACAGCGCCACCAACGCCTACCTCTCCACACTCATGGGCTTCGACGGATGGTTCTTCGCAAGAATGGACTACCAGGTACACCGCCTTTCCTCGCTCCCCCTCCCCTCCCCTCCCCTTACCGACACACCGACATATGCCCACCATGTGTGTGTGTGCATCTCTGGTGCAGGAGAAAGCGCGTCGCGTCAATGACCGTTCGCTGGAGATGGTGATGCACCCACGGGACCCCTCTGATCGAATGGTTGGCGGCGGCATCTACACCATGTGCATGGCCGACCACTACTGCTCGCCGCCGGGCTTCTGCGCCGACCATGTGTGCAGAGACCAACTCATACAAGTGAGTCGGGAGACAGAGAGCATATGTGTGTGGGATATGTGTGTGGGATATGTGTGTGGGCGTTTGTAGGACGATCCTCGGCTGGATGACTACAACGTCGAGCAGCGGGCGACCGAGTTCCTGAAACACGTGGAAGAGTACCACAAAGCCTTCAGGACGAGCCACTTGCTGGTGCCGATGGGCTGTGACTTCACGTAAGTCCCCTCCCACACACACAGATACACACACACACATATACACATGGATGCACACGTGTTGATGTGTGTTGAGTGACCCTGCAGGCATTCTGATGCGGCGCTGAACTTCGCAGAGAGCGAGAAGCTCATGAGGTACATCAACCAGCGGTCGTCATCTCTCGGCTATCGGCTGATCTACTCCACCCCGGCGCAGTACCTAGCGTCGATCCACGACACCCACACCACCCTCCCCATCAAAGGCACCTTTAGATCTAGCCGCTCACACAGACACACACAGCGCCCCCACCGTGTTGTGTGTATGTGTGTTTCACAGAGACTAATGACGACTTCTTCCCCTACGCAGACGGCCCCCATCGCTTCTGGACGGGCTACTTCACCACACGGCCGACATTCAAACGTACACACACACACACACACAACTCACGCATACGAGACATATGTGTGTGTGTCTGGGTGTCTGTCTTGTCAGGGTATGTGCGGGAGTGCAGCGCATTGCTGCAGGCGTATGAGGGCCTTATCGCCAGACACATGATCGGGTCAGTGGGACGGACACACAACACAGACACACGAATATCCATACAAATGGCGTCCGTCAATGCAGTCATATCGACAGCACAACACGGTGGCCGACGCACCGCTATATGGACCATTCAGCCCTGTTCGACCTGCGGGAGAGACTCGCCATTGCGCAGCACCATGATGCAGGCAAGTGTACACCCACACACATACACACACACGGAAAAGACAGAGGGAGGGAGGGAGGGAGGGAGGGACCGTGTGCGTGTGTCTGTGTGTCAATACAGTATCTGGCACGGCCAAGCAGCACGTGTCTGACGACTACACCAAGAGTCTCGCAGATGCGCGGCACAGAGTGGAACAGGTGCGTGAACTGCATTCGGAAAGAGAGAGATGCATGTGTGTGTGGATGGATGGATGGATTTGCAGGCGATGGGACAAATATTTGCTCACCACGGCTATGGCTACCCTGACCAACAAGTGCCGTTCGAGCCCTGCCCCTACGCCAACATCTCTGTGTGCCACATGACCGAGCACCTCACACCAGGTCAGGCCCACACGCACACACGCATACACACACAATACACATACACACATTGTCTGTGCATGTGCCATGTCTGTATGTGTGTGTGTGCAGGCAGTAATGCGTCGGTGGTGGTGGGTGTGTACAACCCCCTTGCATGGACCAGACACAACGTACGTACCTTCCCTCTCCCCGGCCCAGCCCCCATTCGCACACAACCACACATGGACAATTCATTTGTGTGTTCAGGTGACGGTGTCCTTCCCTGTGCCCACGGCCAACCTCTCTGTCAGCGGCGGATACACCTTCGCTGTGGAGGCAGCATGGCCCTTCCCGTCAGACCAGCAGCCCACCACCATCCCAGGACGGCAGAACTACACATTGAAGGTCAGGCCATCCATCTGTCACACACATGGATGGACGTGTGTGTGTGTGCGTGTGTCTGTAGGTGTCGGTGCCGGACATCCCGCCTCTTTCTTTCGTCTACTTCACCGTCAATGTGACTAAAGAGGGCAGAAATGAGCCAGCACCCACCAGAACAGCAGCAGCAGCAGGGAGGGTCATGCGCGGAGGCCAGCAGCACCAGCAGCAAGGCGGCCCTCCGACCACCATCGAAAGCGACGTCTATCGCCTCACCTTCGACGCAAGTGAGACCCCACGCCCACGCCCACCCCCCCACCACCCCAATACACACACAAATGCCCATGTATGTATGTGTGCAGGTGGGTCGCTGACATCCATCACCAACAAGCCCACCAACACCACCGTCGATGCGCGTCACACCATGCAGTACTACCGGTCGTTCGGCCCCGACAGCGACCAGAACAGCGGCGCCTACATCTTCCGCCCAAACACCACCGACCGCGTGAAATACGACGCGCCCGTCAAGGCGTTCCAAGTTCGTGTGCATGTGTGTGTGTGTGTACGTGATGGGTTTCCCCCACTCTCTCTGTGTGTCCGTGTGTGTGTGTGTAGGTGACGAGAAGCGGTCCCTGGGAGTGTCTGGTGCAGCTGTTAGATGGGGCGGAGAGCGCCTCGTGTGACGAGGCCAACTGGCCCGCATTCTTCCGGTACTGCGTGACCGACGGCAGCGACGCCATCGATGTCGACTGGAGTGTCGGGCCGATCTACATCGATGACAAGGCACGCACACACACAATGGATGAATGGCTGGCCGCACGGATGACCATTTCTCCCTTCCTCCCTCCCTGTGTGTGTCGATGCAGCAAGGGAAGGAGTTCGTGTCGATGTGGTCATTGCCAGCCGTCAATTCCTCCGCTGCCATGGCCGTCGACAGCAACGGGCTGGCCATGGTCCGCCGCACCCGCGACCAAAGACAGTCCTTCGCACTCAATGTGACCGACACAGAGGCGGGCAACTACTACCCCATCAACTCGGCTGCTTATGTGGAAGACGCGAGTACCGGGGTACGTACGTTTGGAGGCATCTTTGTGTGTGGATGGATGGATGGATGAATGCGCGTGTGCGTGGACGTCCTTAGGTGCGGTTCACCGTGCTGGTTGACCGTGCGCAAGGTGCGGCTTCGCTGGCGGACGGGCAGATCGAAACCATGATACACCGACGGTGGGTGGGGGGGCAGGCAGACACGTACGTGTGTGTGTGTGCATCCATTCTCTCTCTCCATGTCTGTATCGGTGAATCAGGACGGTCTACGACGACAATCGTGGTGTGGCCGAGCCCATCAACGAGACCCACCCGATGTACCCAACCGACGACGGCAAAGGCCTCCGCGTCAGAGGCACACACAGGGTGGTCCTCAGCACCGACACAGCCATCCAGCGGGCACTCGAGCAGGAGATCTACCATGACCCTATCGTCATGTTCGCATCATCACCACCACCAGCAGCGGTCGCACAGCCTCACGTGGCAATGATTGAGCCGCTGCCGAGGAATCTCCATTTGCTGACCTTCTCGCCGGTGCCGTGGTTCGGCGGACGTGGGCGGTGCTGTGAGAGGGGGAGGGGCCGTGGAGCGGTGGTGCTGGTCAGGCTGAGGCATCTGTACGACGTGGGTGAAGACGCTAACATGAGTGTGCCCGTGCAGGTATGTGCCGACATCAACACACAACATGGAACGCATTCACGGCCGTCTGTGCATTCATTGTGTCCTCTGTCTCTTGTTTCTGGTGTGTGTATGGTTGTCATAGTATGACCTTGCCGGACTCTTCCCAGGCGTCTCGCCCCAGCAGCTCTCAGCCAGGGAGACCACCGTCACGGCCAACTCCCTGCTGCACCGCGCCATGGACAGGAGAATGGTCTTCCCCACACAATCTGACACAACACTGGCCGCATTCAGCGTACATGGTGATGGTGATGAATCAACACTGCTCGTGACGATGCTGCCCGGCGAGATTCGCACTTGGAGCGTGCTGGTGCGGCCGAGATACGACGATTTGTCTTTGTTGTGTGATTGTGAGGAGGGCGTGGGCGGCGATGAGTGTGTGTCGTATTGGGATGTGCTGACAGAGGGGGGGAGAGGGGGAGAGGGAGGGGGAGGGGGGGAGCAAGGCTCAGACAGAGACCATGTGGTGGTCGTCGAGTGAGAGATGGTGTGGTGACTTTTTTGTGTCCCGCGAGCAAGTTTGTGCTGTTCAGCGGGCAAGGTTTTTGGTGGGCGAGTAAGTTTCTGTGTCTGTCTGTGTATGTGTGCATACTTGGCGTCCGTCTGCGTATGTGCCTGTCCGTTCGTTTGTGTGTGAAGGTGTTTTCCCGTGACGCTTTATCGTACGGATCTGCATAGCGATAAGCCAAACACATGCAGTGACTGTTGCTTGAGCGGCCCTTCGTTGTCCACCCATCCATCGGTAGGGAGATGCATCAATCCACACGTTTAGGGTTTGCACCCCTAAGCCCGAAACCCTGAACCCTGAAACCAGCTTAGGGGTTTAACCCTGAAACCACAGAGCCGAAACCCTGCGGCCTTCTCCCTCTCCCCTCTCTCCTCTCTCTCACCGCTGTACGTACGTACGTAAAGGACTGCAAAAGGCGTCAGCGGATCTGCCCATCCGATCAATTGCATCCGAGCTCCATCGGCTCATCTCACTTAATTCGACCGCCCAGCAACTTCCCATCTGTTTCAGCGCCTGTTAGCCACCGAGAGCATCCCATCTGCCCCTCACCCAGCCGCACTGCAACTGACTGTCCGGCATCTCAATTCAATTGCCCTTCAGCAATGGCCCTCATCTCCCGCCAGATGGTCCTGCTCGCCGCCTCTCTGCTGCTGATGGCCGTGTGGATGCCATCGACGGCCGTGGCCCTGGCCGCTGACGAGGGCCTGACGACAGTGGACGACCAGCTGCTGCTGAGCGATGAGGATGTCGATGAGCCGTTGGTGTCGTCTGGCGGTCTCCGGGGTTTGCAGTCGTGCATTGCCTCTTACTCAAAGAAACAGTGCAAGAAGACCTCACACTGCTGCTCACACAAGTAAGTAGGCCAAATCGACAGACAGAGGAGGCTCATGGCGATGCGTGTGATGGCTCTGTGTGTGTGTGTGTGTGTGTCTATATCGGTGCAGCTGTGTGAATGGTCAGTGCCGCAAGGGCGGCGATCTGAATGGCATTGGCCAGCGCTGTCGGTACGATAACGACTGCCACTCACATTACTGCTCGAATGGCAAATGTGAGCCACACACTCACACAGGGGGGCCAATGTGGGCGTCATGCATTCTCCCTTCCGTGTGTGATGTGATGTGTGCATTAGGCAAGGAGAGGGGCCACCATGGCGACCACCATGACGACCATAACGACCATGACAACCACCATGACGACAGGTGCAAGAAGGACCACGATTGTAAGCGTGGCTTCTACTGCTGGAAGAAACACCATGACCACAAATACGGCAAATGTAAGCGACGAATCACACAGTGGGCAGACAGACAAACAGACAGACCTATGTATGGGCCGTGTTCATCCAATGTGTCCATGTGTGTGTCTTCAGGCCGTCGGCATTAGGCGTCCATCTCAGACACTGCGGCTCGTGTATCGCTCTTTGCTCATGTGAGAGGGGACGGCGCTAGTCTCGCTGTCTCCCTGTCTATCTGTCTGTCTGTCTGTCTGTTGTGTTGTGCCTTGTTTGTACAGTCAATCACATGACGTCTGTCTGTCTTTCAGTCTGTTGTGTCTTTGATGTCGTGTGGCTTTGCAGTCAGTGTGATTATTAAGGGTGGGGGGATGTCACTGACCATTGGGGGCGGTGAGCCCTAAGATGCATTCGTATTGTTTATACGAGAGGGAGAGAGAGAGAGAGAGAGAGAGAGAATAGTCCTGGTGAGTGTTGTGGGCAGAGAAGATGGCTGCCACACACATTAATTGATTGCACACATACATGCAGTGGTTCGTGGGTGTCTGGGGGATACACACATAGTGTGGTGTGTGCGTGTTTTGGGTAGTAGCATCCTGTGCGTGACGTGATAGTAGGCTGGTCTCACTCAACTCAATGGGTGTTTTTTCATACCGTAGAGAGATCGCGACAGAGATCTGGACAGACATACGCGCGTTTTCTGAACATATGGGGGTGAGAAAGGGCTGTTTTCTTGATGCTTACGAAGGTCATCCCATGAGCCATTGTAGATTGATGGACGAAAGAAATCAACGAATGCGACTGCGACACTCCGAATGGACGAATCGTATAGACATTCGGTAACTCACTCATCGCACACGAGTCAAGGCGACCACCCAACACATGACACCCTTTCATCACTTATACGCCAACTCATCACTTCTCTATACTCCAACTCATCCGAGCCATCCGCCATGTGCGCGGTATGCGCATCTCGCCTTGTCTCACTCTGCCCAAATACGCCTGCTGTGATGACTGATCATCAGCAGTCCATGCGATTTACAACTGATAACCAGACCAACCAAACCAATGCGTTGTCAGTGTCACTCGACACACACTGAAGCAGCATGCATCCATCTAGTCGGCACTCGACTCGCATTCATCAAAAATCGTCGTCATCATCGAAATACACTGCCTGCGCGTGCTGGTGCTCAATGTAGGCATCAATGTCATCGTCAGCATCACCATAGTACTCCAACCCCCCCTCGATCTGCTGATCGATGTAGTCATCGATATCGTCGCTTGGCTCCATCTCGCGATGGGCGTGCTGCTGCTCGATGTAGGCATCAAGATCGTCTTCAGCATCACCGACATACTCAGCCCCCTGCCCCTCCAGCTGCTGGTCGATGTAGTCGTCAATGTCGTCGCTCTCCTCCATCTCCCGCTGTGCATACTGCTCCTCAATATATGCATCGAGATCATCGTCGGGATCGGCGACGTACTCAGCCCCCTCCAGCTGCTGATCGATGTAGTCATCGATGTCGTCGCTTGGCTCCATCTCGCGATGGGCGTACTGCTGCTCAACGTATGCATCAAGGTCGTCATCAGCGACAGACTCGGCCCCCTCGATCTGCTGATCGATGTAGGCGTCGTCATCCTCATCCAGTTGCGCGTCGTACTGCTGCTGCTGTCGGTGCTGTGCGTACTGATCCTCGATATAGGCATCGAGATCATCCGCATCGCCACTATAGTAGTCAGCCCCCAAGCCCTCCCCCTCCCC